GGCCCTCTATTAGTAGCCAAGATTTTTGTTTGGGGGTATGAAATCACCTCCCCCCAAATTTAGAGGACGCGAACGGACTCTGTGTGAGCCCAAATCACGAGTCGATAGTTTATTCCTGTGTTTGTCGACGAAAAACGATTTCTCGTTGCGTCAAGATTCATCGAACTTTTCGCAACGAATCGACCTAGACGTATTTTTTCTGTGTTTTTTTCGTCCTTCTCAAGAGTAAATAGAATCTTCCTTTTGAACACATTCAAAGAACATGAAAATTTGGTCCTAATCGGCTGATGTGTCTCATTTTTCAGTACATCTACTGGAAACCTCTCGACATAAAATATTTCAACGTCGAAAATCTTTACTACTTCGTGAAYGATCACACGTGCAGAGTACAATAAACAAGCGTGTGTTCATWATGATTTGGATCTTTTCTCGTTTCTATGCAATTTTGTCCTAGAAAAAATCTTATCAAACTCCCTATTTTCGTTTCTGTACGAGAAACTTCTCGAACTGTCAAACATTGCGACATAATCAACTGGTTTGTAAATTCCCTCCCACAGTTTTTGGTCAACACTCATTTCAACAACATCTTTCGAATATTTCAAGTGAGTAGTATATGAAGAATCTTTCAAAACAAATATAATCCCCGTTTTGTGTCTGACGGCTTCGGAAAATGATGCATCCCGTTGCCTTGCGTTCGCACCATTGAGGGATCTTCATATGTGTCGTGTAGAAGGATCTAAATATCGAGAAATTGTCAAATTAACTACGCCGAGACTGGAMTGTTCGTTACATACAACGAAATGCCGAGGACACTCACGGTTTCTTTCCTATTCTTTTCCATCTTCCTATGTTTTCCATATCTAGAATGCGCTTTGAACTCGCTGCTCTCGCTCTCATTGCAAAAGGAGTTTCTTCGGATGCCAAAGCCAGTGTTTTGGATACGTCTCCAAGCGACAACCAAAAAAGAAACCACAAAAATGATGGTGCGGAGTTGAAATCTTCCGAGCAAACCTCTTCRCTCCCTGTCTTCACTCACGGGAATTTGAAGGGCAAACTGTCCTCCACGCATACCATCAGCGCRAAAGAATTGCGTAACCTCAATCCGAACGCGGACAGGATAGTTGCGTTGTCTGAAGATGATTCAGAAGAATTTAAGATCTGCAGCAACGAGGAAATCGGTATCCTCCACGCTGCCTGTTCGTCTCCCRACGAAAGTTGTGTTCCCCTGAGACGTTTTGTCGCAGGAAATCCATCWACTCGTCTCCACGAAAACGAAAGACAAGAAGTAGGGGTATGTCTCCCTACCTCCCAACTTAACGACTCGAGTTACGAAKCAATTTCTTATGATCGCAATCTACAGGTGTTGGATTGCGATTCRGTTTGTGGCTCCGATCGAAAGAAGATTTATGAAGATGGCGAGGMTTTCCAAAGCCTCATCGCCSAAGCCCAATCTGAACCGGATTTAATYAATTGCTGGGACACATCAGAGGTCACCAATATGACGAGAGCCTTTTTTGACCTGAAAAGCTTCAACAGCGCTTTGGAATGCTGGGACACGAGCAACGTCGAAGCAATGAACGGCATGTTTGGYGGTGCAACCTCATTCAACATGCCCATCGGAAATTGGGACACATCCAAAGTGACGAACATGGAAGCTATGTTCTACATGGCRAACGAGTTCAACCAGCCTCTCGGAGACTGGGACACGGGGCAGGTTACGAGCATGTATGCCATGTTTGCTCTTGCGAACAAGTTCAATCAGCCAATCRAAGATTGGAATGTGTCGAATGTTTATGACATGGCCTCGATGTTTTTTGTGCTCCTCTATGGTTCCTATTTCAACCAAAAGCTAGACAGCTGGGATGTGTCGAGTGTGTACTACATGCAATCCATGTTTTCTGGTGCGAAYAGCTTCAACCAGTGCCTTGGAACATGGGGTTCTAAAACCCCCGAATCAGTAGGCACGGAGTACATGTTGTATGGGACGGCTTGCCCCCTTGGCGACGGARACCCCAACCCTTCTGTCGGACCGTGGTGCCAGGGAAGCCAGGACGAGTGCTTCGATTTKGAGGCGTGTGTCGACGATGAGGAATTTTCTTTCWCCAACAAGGGTCAAGAATACAAATGCACCAACATGCCTGGCAAATTCTGCAAGAAGAAAACTGTTGCCTCAAACTGTCCCTCTAAGTGCAGTTTAGCATGCAAGTGTGAAGACAAGAAAAAGTACAAGATCAAGGGAGAGGGCAAATTTYTMTGTGCARARGTCGAAGAKGATGMCAATCCCACATGCAACGACGAGATTAAACCAGGCCTTATGGTCCGTGATGAGTGTCCAAAAGCATGYGAAAGCTGTTTGCTTCCCCAGTAGTCGYAGATGTAGAGCAAACGTGATCTTGCATGGAAAAAGTAGAAAAAATGGTGTTAATCAGATATTTTATTAGAAGTAACATAATCATGTTCGATGCAAATATTGTAATCACGACTAAGCCCCACATCAGACACGGGTCCTGAGTAGCAACACACACAGCTTGTTCACATTTATGCTGCCAGATATCTTCATGGACAGATCAACATGCCCACGAAATCACAAGTGAAAAATTTAACAATTTTAAAATCAAATCAAGCAAGACCAATCGCAGTCACGAATGGTTAGACTTGTAACAATATTGTCTTCAAAAACTTGTATTCTAGAACATCTTTTTTCGGAAATTTCATCATCATCTGGTGACACTAGAGAGCGATAGAGCTATCTTTGCCTTGTTGTCTGCCGCGTATTCAGTACAGAGTATGTGCGTGTAAGCATTGGTTTGGTGTCTAGCTACRTACATCTTGAATGGCCGTTTCACTCCTGAGTGCCCTTGCCAACCGGTTGGAAACCTCCTTTCCAACTTCGTTGTTGTCGACATAGAGATGCCTAAGGGCTGTGTCACCCTTTAGTTCTTCCAAGACCTCGCAAAAGGAGGCAGCACCCTCTGGTCCGAGCAAATTGCCCTCAAGATAGATCTTGGACACAGTTTTGTTGGTTCTCAAGGAGTCGGCGAGGGCTTTGGCACCAGCAGGGCCGATCTTGTTGGCTCCAAGGTAGATCTCCCGGATGCTAGACGACGCAGAGGACATGGTTTTTGCTAGTGCCTTGCATCCCTCATCGCCGATRGCGTTTCCTTCCATATAAAGGTATTGCAGATTGCTTGTTGATGTTGTTTCATCGCTGGTTTGCTCTTCGTTGCCGTCCCCAATCATAGCGTTGCAAATGGCAATCATACCGGCGCTATTGATTTCGTTGAAGCGGAGGTCTAGCTTGGTSAGCTTACCGTTACCATTGCGAAGCAAATTCGATGCCGCGATCGCCTCAGCACCAATGTTTCTTAGCCCGTTCCCCCCGAGATACAGTGACTCGATGGATCCAGCGACCCGCGCAACAATGGCCAGGATATCTTTCAAAGGTAGATCCGTTCCAGCCAGACTCAGCGTCCTGAGGCTCCGAAAAGCTTCAAAAACCCTTGGATCGCAGGGAAGCCCCTTGTGGAGGCGCCTACCCCCGAGATCGAGAAATACCAGAGAGCCGTTTTGTTGGTCGAACCGAACCTTTTCGGATTGCCAGGAATCCAAGAATTCTGTAGACGAGAACGTATCCTTAGATTCCTCGTGCCGTAGTTGTTGCTGCTGACCATTGGCAGGGAGGACACCATTGCCGGGTTGGCAAAAGTCGGCGAATATGTCGACCTTCGGCGTGTTGAGAAATACGAGGTTATGCTCCCGAAGGATTTCGAGTCCGTCGAGGCAGTCGGGATTCACGATTTTGTTGGTGCCACTCATATCAGTACAGTTCTACCGTGACTTTTTTGCTTGGGAACGATATCTATTCCACAATGCAGTTTTACGGCGTGACGAAAAGAGCAAAGTGCAAGGACTAGATGTACTCTTTACTAACAGCAACATGTACAGAACCACCGTGCTCGTTTTTCGAACCGTACGGTACGAACTGTATGTCCATTTTCTGGTCTGAGATGGATTTTAAAAAAAACATGAAATCGAATTCAATTCAAATTTATTATTTTAAACAAATCGTTCTGTTGACAGACGGATGGAGGTCAGACGTCAAAAAGCATGGATCAAACGACCTCTTTTTTGGCAAGCGAAGCAAAATCGACGATTTCAGAACTGGTCCCCCTACTGTTTTCAAAAATCATAATCAGCGATGGTGCGACCATTACCTCAGCGCGAGTCACAGAGAGAGAGTACCTAATYAGATTGAATGGTGCACMTMGGCAATAATCGATGCGCACGTCTTCAATTGCCCCCAAGCAGACTACGACTCGCTGTTTCGCTTTAAAGGAATCACAAGAAGAACCCATAACGCCATTAAATAACCGTATCATAACGTCTCTTTCATTTTATGTAGAAAGAGAACTGATGAATTCCTTAACATTAAGACGCTGGTAGGGTACCAAGTACTATAAAACTACTGCACGAATGAACGAAACGTCTGGGCTCTCCCTTCAGTCCTTCTGCTCTGGTTACGTGACACAACGAAGGTCACCAGAACATAAGGAAGCAAGCAAAACTACCGGAAATGACGATTTCATTACGTTCACAGTGCAGTAGAAATACGTAATACAATAGCAATCTTCCGTAATAATTTTTCCAGGAAACATATGTTGTTGTGTGGGGAAAAGGAAACAAAAAATACTGGCACCAATCGTGCCATATCCATAGCAGTAATAATAGAATCAATTTGCACCTCTTGTGAAGCATATACAATTCATAACACGACAACCTTCTCTCCACGAAAATGACCCGCTTGTTCCCCCCCGAAGAGGCAAACTCTTCCGTTCTGAGCGACGAAACCATCCACGAGGCCCCCGAAGAATTTGACAGCGACGACATCAGTAGCAACGAAAGCGAGGACGTAATGGATGGGATCGATGACGACGATGAAGAAGACGATGATTCAGACTGTAGCGCTTCCACCGTCTCRACGAGCCCATTGTTGAAACTCATCCCGACCGCGCTGGCGTCCCCACAGCAGCAGCACCGATCGTCACTGCTGGACAACGGCAAAAGTGGAATGCCCCTCCCCCCCGGGAGCCACCTTTCTGCGAACGAGCCCAGACCCGAAAAGGGAGTCGATCGCCTCCTATTAATGGCTCGCTATCCAAATGCAGATGAGTCWCAGATCCAGCAAGCCCTGCAACGGAAAGAACTCCAACAACGTGCCGCCAAGATCGCCGCCACAAAAAAGGCGCAACTCTTTCGGGAACAAAAAGACCTTGAGGATGCCGAACGTTGGAAGCTGCAGCAGGAAAGAGAGCAGAAACAGCTTGAGCAGCTGCGGAACGAATACCGGCAGCACCAACAAAACCAGGAGCTACAGCAATTTCAACAGCAACAGCAACTCCAATTCCACCAACAGATCGAACAATTTCAGATGCAATCTGTGCAGGCGTCTAACAACGGGAGTGGAGCAGAAAGATTCGTTGGAACCACCGAGGAAGAGCGGGTGCAGGAAAACAGGTTAAAAAATTTGAATAATGACCAGCACCATCCAAAGGGAAGTTTTGGCCACGCGGCCAGCCCCTCCAAGAATATTTTGCCAAAGCGATCCCAGAGCGGAACAGACGAGGACGAAGAAGAGGATCAGGATGCCTCGTACATGTGGGTGTCCGGTATGGCTAGGAGCAGTTATGAGTCCGAGAACAGCAACTATCGCAATAGCAATGATGGCGGAAGTAGTGGTGAGGACCACGCCGATTACTACAGTCGGGCGGTGCTCTCAAATTCAGGGGGCGATACGGACGAAAGCGACGACGTTGAAAAAGCGGGGAATTATTTCTATCATCGTACCAAGAGCGGCGGCAGAGAATCACCAAATCACTCGCAGCGATCGTCCCCCATCCGAAAGAATCTGCGGGAAAGCATGAGCAAGGTTGCGAAGGCGTTCTCAAGCACCGCGAAAGCCACCCGCCCGGTGCCCCTCGGCTCTTCCATGGACCATCCGGCCAAGACCGCCGCAGCCTCGAACTCGTCGGGTGACCACGGTGCCAACCGAAATACAAGCAATGCCCATCAAGCACATCAGCAGAAGTGGCAGCGGTTAAATTCCGGAAATAATATCGACGACACCGACGAAAACCTTCCCGATACAGGCAGCAGCAGCTTTGACACGGACCGGGACCACAACAACACCAACAAGTACAGCGTTTCCAGCAGCACTAGTAGCTACTATCGAAACGACCAGAGCAAACAAGTGAAAGGTTTTCACCAGTACAACGATGGAGGCTTTGGCCACKCCGATGACGATGAGGATGCCGATTCAGAAAGGAAACGTCTAAACGGATCTMGTTGCTGCGTATGGAYGAAGCGCAACAAGCTGCTCGTGGTGATATTTTCATTTCTTCTTTTGGTTGCAATCTTAGCAACGGCCCTGATGGTTGCAAAGAAGAACACCAAYCGCAGCCCCATGTCAACGGAAAGTAGTCCTAGTGGTGACGAAATGATGGTGGACCTTCCCACTGATTTCGRCAACRACTTAGAGAGCAACGACRCCGATGGAAACAGCTTTMGCGGCGAGGGWGAGACATCTACCGGCGATATTGCGGTTGCAACTCCCTGGGACATGCCACGGGTACCTCCACCATCGATAGCTCCAGMATCTTTTCCAACGGAAAACCAGAGCGAATTTGGCGAGGGTATTCCGTCACGGCCTCCCKTCCTTTCCCAGCCCACCGATCAGCCCACGACGTCCTCCAGCGAAGTGCCGTTCCTGGATTGGACCTGGGACGTCGTTGGTAGTGGCGAAACCATCATTAAGGGCACCCCCCAGATCGACCAGCGGTTTGGGG